TTAAAAAAGTTCTCTGATTGGACAGCTTACTGGCAACAAAAAATAGCATTCAAAAAATGTTTCCACTTATGTTTTGGAAGTAAGCCTTTGACGGTTCATTCGTATTCGTTTTGCCTGGACACCCCGATAACGACTGTTAACTTTATTGAAGATATTGCTATTACGGTATCTTCTGACACAAAATTTTCCAAACACTGTTCTCGTATTGCCAAAAAAGCTTACGCCCGTCTATATTTACTTTTCAAAACCTTTATCAGTAATGATTTAAATCTCCTTTTAAAAGCCTACAAGGTCTATGTGCGTCCAATCTTAGAATCTTGCACCCCAGTGTGGAGTCCTTACCTTCTTAAAGATATACGTTGCATCGAAAACGTCCAAAGATACTTCAGCAGAACTACCTGTAAAAGATGCCATATTTCTTACACCATCAAGACTATCTGTTTTAAAACTCGATTCTCTTGAACACTGCAGAGTCAAATTCGATCTTTTTATGACCGACAAAATTATAAACAATCTTGTCGACCTTCCTTTTTTCGATTTCTTTACATTTTCCAATTCTCATTACCCCACTAATAGTCATGCGATAAAATTAGTTTCACGCAATAAATGTATAAATGTACTAACGATGCACGTAAATTTTTTTTCAGTGAAAGAGTTGTAAAAATATGGAATTCATTGCCTGCTCACATTGTCAATTCATCTTCATTATTCATATTCAAAAAAAAAAACAAAAACTTACGACTTACAACAAAGTTGCGTATTGTATTAAATTGCCTTTGTTCAGGTGTTACATAAGCGTAATCTTGTGATTACCTGTCTCACCCTTTTGTATTTTAATGTATTTTTTTTTAATGCAAATAAATATTATTATTATTATTATTATTATTATTAAAAAAAGTACACTGTTTTTAAAAATAATAATAATAAAAAAAAAATATATAATAAAAAAAAAAAAGTATAAACATACAAAAGCTTGGAGTTTAGAACATACCTAGAAGTTAATTAACTAAAATGTAAAAAAATTTTCTTTCTTTTTAAAAAAAACAAACCTACAAACTACATTCATACAAAACTACAAACCTACTTTCTTTCTTTTTTAAATTATGAATCTGGCCAGATTTTTTAGCATTTTGTGGCACTACTGAGAATAGGAAGAAAATAATTTTTTAGCTTCTTTACTTACATTTGAGGTTAAAGATTTTGGGTTGACCCCTACGGGCCCTGAAAACCATAGCTATAGTTTAGGAACTATTTAATAAAAGGAATTTTACGTTTTTGTCGACATACTTAACCTAAACCTACACATCGTAATGAATCTAACAATTATTGAATGAATGAAACAATGATTTCTAACTCCCCGGTTCAAATCAAAAACTAAAAAGAGGCTTAAAATTTCAAAATTTTCAAAAAAAAAAATGTAATAACTACTTTTTAACTTCTTTTACCTGGGAAGGATCATAAAAATTGTTTTAAAAGTAGCATATTAACCTATAACTATTTTAAATTGTCCATTTGAATGAGCTACTTCAAAGTGATATCCCTAGCAACACTATAGCAACGCATTTGATTAACTGTATTCACTATACATTTCTTCTTTGTTTAACCCAAGCAAGTGTTATGATAATTATGTACAAGCTTAAACAGCTTCATTACGAATTATTCTAGAATTTTTGTAAAGGTTGGTACATCAAGTACGACAATTTGAATTATTTTATCAACTTAGTTATTTTATCAGCTTAGTTTTATTAGCGAAGATGTGAAAAGATTGTCGAGTAAAGTAACGTACACAAACTCACTGTAAAACAAAAAGATTTATGCGAAATGTTAATAAACCTGTTAGTTTTGATTGTGTAAATAAAACCTGTTAATATTGATTGTGTTTCTGATAGTGAAAATATTGAGTTGCCATCAATAAATTTAAATGCTGGATTTGTGTTTTGCAACCAAAAATAGAAAACTGACTTAAGTTTGTCCACTTCATCGCGTAAAGTTGAAGACTTAAATGATGCGCTTCTTTTGAATCCTAGTATATAAGCAGCCGTGGCGCAGTGATAGCGCACTTGCCTCAGAAGCAAAGGATCTGTGGTTCAAACCCCACCTCTGGGCAAGTTTTGTGTCATCTGTTAGGAAGAAGGCGTGAACTTCCAGTTAAATGCTCATCCGCGGTGCTCTGTGATAAGACCATAAGAGCTTCTTGTGGCACCTAAATAAAAAAAAAATATTGTATATCTGGCTATCGTATTATTGATGTTGTTGTTTCGATTTCTTTTCTGTATTCAGAATGTAATAGTCCCACACTCTCATTAGGTGAAAGATATATAAACAATATGGTTTATCTTGTTATATCTTGTATCTATAAGTGTCTGAAAAAGATTGCAATTATCTTCGTCAGTTTAACAACTCTATCAATAATTATTATAAAAAATGATTTTATGTTATTAAGCAAATAATTTATTGCATGCGGTTATCTGGCTATGGATATGCAGGCATAAAAAATTTTTTAAAACTATGAATTTACCTTAGCCTATGACCAAAAAAAATTTGAAAAATTACTAAAAGTAATTGTAACAGATGTTAAAACTGTAACAGAACAAACCATGTTAAATGTTGCAAATAAATTGCAAAAAGTATATGACACTGACTGATATTTGTGTATCTTGCAATGATACATAGTGCAAACAAGGACATTCAACGCTGAACGGAGTCTTTTCTGCTGTTAGTGGCAAAGTGATAGATGTCGAAGTCATGTTCAAATATTATAATGTTTGCAGTGTTACTCAAGGCCTCTAAAAGTCTAATGTAATTGCTTATGCCCAACGGAGAAATTCCCATGTTTCTAAGTAAAGTTATGTTTCTAACAATATAAGCCAGGACCGAGTTTACCAATAGACATTATTAAGAAAGAAAGACATATTTTTGAAGAGAAGCGTGCTACAAAAATGTGAAGACAGTGAATCACAAAAATGTTTGCATTGTAAAACACAAAATGCTAATGAACCGTTTAATAGAATAATTTTAAAACGGATACCAAAACAAACATTTGTCTTGCTTACCCAATTAGAAATTGGTGTATATGCTGTAGCTTACCTTAATATTGGAGCCAAAGCAGCCATTAATAATTTAATACAACTGGACATAAAACAAGGCTTTCATATGATTGCAGGATGCAAAGCAATAAATAATGAAATATAAAGAAATGTTGAAGTTAGAATGAACCCCGATAAAAAGTCAAGGCGGCAAATATTAAGTGCTAAAAAGTTGAAAAAAATGACAAAATAATAGAAAGATATTGGCTTATATGTACCTGGTGGATTTTGAAATTTTGATTAACTTTTTTTTTAATACCTATTTTATGAATAAAAATTTAATGTATTTAAAGTTTTTACTTTCTTCCTGTTTTTCTCAGAATAGCAATTTGCGCACACCGGCCAATATATTTGGAGAACCGTATGATATTTTTCTATGAAATTTTCAGGAAGTGTTTACCATATTACACTCTATGATATCAATGGAATAGATTTTAATTAAATTATATGTATAAAATTTTTTTTTAATAAAAAGATAAAAAATTTGAACTTTGGTCTTCCTGTTGTAATTGTGACAAAAAGTTATAAAAAATCTGTTCCACTCATATCATAGCTCTGCCTTAAAGTAACATTATGGTTCATTATTGATTAGTGGAAATGAACCGATTTCTCTGTATTTTGGCCGGCGTGAAGTCATTTTTTGTTCATTATAGGGGTTTTTAGTGGTTACCATGGCAACAGTATGGAAAAAAAAGTATGCATTGTTTTTAGTTTACTATAAGAACCTTACCGATAATCAGTTTTTGTAAAAATACTAAGATATAAAATCATTGGGGGGTACCCCCTAATGATTTTAAATCTACCAATAACAAAAAACGATTAAACTGCTGTTGTCTTAAATTAGCCAATAAAAACTTTTTTTATTAATATATTATATAGAACTTAAGTATAAACAAAAAAAAAACTATAAAAACTATAAACTTTAGAAAATTAGATTAAAAAAAAAACAAATGTTAAAAATTATATAAAAATCGAAAATAGATCAATAACCAGTTTATAACAAACAAAATTTAATTTTAATTTGTACATTTAACCAGTTGATTAGCTGAGCCGTTTTTTATTCTGTACCAATCATATTAAACACGCTTAAAAAAGATTTGAAGTTACATACAAGGATTTAAACTCCCAAAATGAGCTTCGTTTTTAAAAGTCATAAAATCGCTATTTGTTCTTGCTCTCGGTACTAAACATTTTTGAAGCTCCAGGACACCATTTATCAGAAACAAATAGTGATTTTGTGACTTTCAAAACAGGAAAAAGAGTGACAGATTTTTACCAGCAAGTTAACCAGTTTATTTAAATTCTCTACTTTTAAGATGGAAGAGTTCCTTGAGTGCGTTACAAATCACATTTGAATTGACGAGCTAGATGGAAAACACAAAACAGTTTAAAAACGTTTAATTACTTATTTTAAACCATCTATGATTTTTCATCAGTTTTTGTTCTTTGATTAAATCTTATTAGATTAAAAAATTCTTTTTTTTAATTACAATTATTATAACCAATTAAAAACAAAAGATTTACCGTTCAGATAATTAAAAAGTAATCCATCTTGTCGTGAAAAAAGTTCTTTATACATCTTCATTTTGTTACAGGAGCTTATTATAACATATCAAATGTTCAAAAAAGTATTTTCAACTCAACGTATAGTACAAATTTAGAAAAACGCTGGGTTCTCTAACGCCTATTTAAGAAACCTTGGATGAACTTTGAATCAAATTAGTTCCAATAAAAGACTTTCCAATAAAAAGCTGAATGATCAATTTAATAGCAAACTTAAAATTGCTCAATAACAATCTGATGCGCCAAGCTTTTTACTATGAGTCTAAAGCAACAGAGACTGCGTATAAATTTTAATTCACGTGAAGAAATGCTATTTAAGTCAATTGTTTGAAATACAAAAAAAAAAAAAAGTTTAAAACTAGACGGGTTATTCCAATGTAAGTAAGTGCCTGGAACAAAATTTAATTTCCAATCTCTATTTACAAGTAAAATAAAGTAAAAAAATATAAATAAAAAGCACCAAATGTACATAATCGTGTTGCGTATCTAAAATGAGTATGGTACTCCAAATAAATTGACTTTCAATTTAGTTTTTTTCTTCCTGTATAAATGATGCATGAATACCAAAATAAAATATTAAAATTTAAATCCTAAAAAAATCAATAAAACAATGGCCAAAAATATGAAATAAACATTAAGTAGATATTTAAATTCGATCGAGGCCTCACCTACCAAGTACAGTTGATATGGTAAAACACTCTAAGTATAATTGTTTTTACTGTGCAAAATTAGAAACTTTAATTTCTAGAGGTCTTTAATTACTTCAAAAACTGCGATAAAATTAGTAAATATCCTTTCATTCTTAACAATCATTACTAGTCAGATTGCATCTAAGTGAAGAGTCACATGATAATAATTATAGAGTTAGAGATCGGAGATGATTTCGAAGCTTTTTTATCAACTCGCTGTTTTCAAACATTTGCAGCAAATACATAAAATGAGCATTTGGTTCAACCATTAGTCGTTTTTCTTTGACAAAAGCAAAACTTTCAGCAAGAGACAAGTTCAAGACAACCATGATGTAAGCAATAACAGCTGTTGCAGAACGAGATTTACCCTAGACAATGATTTTATAGTGTTTAAACGTGAAGTATCATAAATATTATCATCAACAGTTTTATTAATAACAAATTTATAGTTTAGTAAACTCATTAATACTATAATTTAACAAAAATAAGTTTTTTTGTTTTAAATAACAATCAGAATTAACATAATTTAACAAGTTCTTTCTTTGAACGTAGCATAGAGGTACTTTAAACGTAGCATAGGCAATGCTAAAGAGTTATTTAAAAGTATATTAGATAAGATCCAGCTCAGAATTAGATCCAGACAAAAGAAAGTTTTAGTAAAAATGTTGATTTTCAATAAAACAGCAAAAAAATTAATTTTTTCTGATCAAAATATTTGGAAACTTATGTAATGTCTTAATTTAATTCCTCTAAAAGGTCCATAAAAAACTTAATGAGCAAAACAAATTGACCAATTTTAAATAAAAAGCAATTAAATCACTTACACCGAGTGATATTGTACCTTGTCAATTAGGTTTTATTAAGTTAAGGAAATATTAAATCATGTTAACAAGTATCAAGAAGCCTTGTTATCAATCATATATTTGCACGAAAGTATGCGAAGGATCATGCAACCTAAGTATTATGGCATCATCAAATATTTTTCATACATTTGTGATTTCCTGTGTGGTCAATAAATGTTTTTTAGGGATACCAGTATGTACTAACAAATTTTTAGTCAAAATGGTCAACAGCATTGGACATTTTTTATCATTCTTTAATAAGGATTAACACTACCTCAACAGCTTCTGAAAGAACATTCTCAACTGCTTCTAAAACAACATTCTTAACAGCAAGTTCAATTGAAACAAAAAAGTAAGTTTCAAAATATTCTTGCTGTAAGATTTTTAATTTACATGTTCTGCTAATATGTCTTCTTGAAAGACAAGAGCAGGCTAGAAAAGGGAACGTGTAGTAATTTTAAGTGGACAATATATGCCCTATATTTAAAAATTGAACTATTAGCTATAAAGGGATAGCCCATTCATATATAGCTAATGCTTGAGACATTAGCTATACAGGGTTATTGATCTAAGAGTTTAGAAATTAGAAGTTGACAAAAGTCAAGAGTCAGTCAAAAATTAAAAGCAGCATGACCACCAATTAGTTGATGTAATCTGCCAAAGCTACCAAGTTTGTCAAAAAAACTACCAAATATGTATATCTAGGACAGCACATTTATCTCTGGTTCTTATATGTTTCTGAGGTAAGTAATTACCAAAATATTACCAGATAAATAATCAAATTTATAATTTTCCTTTTTATTATTAGATTCCATATTCTAAGATGTTTCTTCATAAACTTTCTTCCTCAATCTCAAATTATATTTTCAGGTCATCATCAGCTTGTTCATCAGGTGATAATAAACTTGGTTCAAAATATCGCTGACTAAACTTTGAGTTTTTGATGTATTTATAATTGACAGTGAAGACAAAATTAAATTTTGAGCTCGTAAATCCCAAACAAGTCTAACATTTCTTCTTCTACATATTCCAAAATACTTTCAGAACTGCTAGAGCCAACAAGATCATATTCAATACTACTTCTCCTTCTTTAAACAAAATATCAAAATTCTCATTTATATCAGTAAATTAACAATATATAAACAATTTAGAGTATTAACACAAGATATCATTTGCATTTTAGATGCATATTTATAGTTCTTTTTGATCCCAATGGAATTTTGAAAAAATTCAAAATTATTAATGAATACACAGTTATGGCTATATGCAGAGGTTGCATTAAATGCAGTTTCTGACAAAATGAACAATAGTTTATTTTGTCAGAAAAACCCCAAACAACAGCTCCCTCTAACGAATCTTGGAAGTGGTCTAAGAAACACCATTGTCTATACGGTTCACTCATTATTTAAAAATAAATTTTATAAACTGCAGTGTGGTTATAAAAAAGTTAAAAAATAACTGACTAATACTAGCAACCTAAAAAGTTAATGTTAAAAAGCTAGGCATTGGTTGGCTTCTTTTACACTTACCTTTCTATGAAAATATATTTATAACAATACAATAATTATTTTGAGTTAAAACTCACCTGAGCACAGTGAACAAGTACATTTTTCTTTTCTAATCTACATGAATGAATATAATTAATAACTTTATCTATGTCTTCATTGCTTATATTATAACTTATTGCATCTTCCCATTCAAGTTGCAGGCATTCAACTTTTGATACTTCCATAGTCCAGTGACATTTATCCTACAAATAATAAAAGATAAATGTACTAAAAATTATTAGTTTATAATTTTAATTATAAATCTGTAATTGTTTAATTAAAATTATTAATTTTATTGAAAAGTTTAAAGAAAAATTTTTCTTCATATATATATATATATATATATATATATATATATATATATATATATATATATATATATATATATATATATATATATATATATATATATATATATATATATATATATATATATATATATATATATATATATATATATATATATATATATATATATATATATATATATATATATATATATATATATATATATATATATATATATATATATATATATATATATATATATATATATATATATATATATATATATATATATATATATATATATATATATAGACTTACCTCATACTTTTTTCCAAATGTTTTATAAAGTCCCATACCAGCAGTATTTACAACGTTTGCAACAGACTCTTGTTGAAGAAATTCTAAATTCATGGCAGCCTTAAAACCCCCAAGAAAAAGTTTGCCATACTTTTCATCAGAATTAAGTATAAGAGTGGGATATTTTTCTCCTTTCTGTGTGTACTCTAAAGACTAAAAATAATCTTACAACCACAAAGTTACAACTATTTACAAGACATTTATTTTTACCATGCATAAAATGCTTAAAAATTATTGCAAAGATGTGGAATAGAAACATAAATATTGCATAGAAATTTTTTATTTTAACAATGTGTTAAAAATATTATATCTGCTTATAATCACCTGAAATAACAACCAAAAAATGTTTTGGTTTGATTGATAATAAATTATTTTTATATTTAATGAAATTATAATTATGATAATTATATAAATAAAAATATATGTAAATGCACTGACAAGTTTTAGATAGACCAAACTATAGATTTAATTTTGACGATAAAAGTTAACTATAAAAAAATAATACAAAATAACATTACAAAACTTAGCCAGTGATGCGTCTCCTTGAAAAAAAAAAAGGTCCTCATTTTAGGACTTTCACATACTGGTGGTGGTAGGGGAATGCATTACCCCATCGCGGCCCTGGATCCGTCACTGAACTTCACAGCCATATTAGTAATAACCTGGTAATAAGTAATCTTAACACTTTAATTTATTCAATTAATTGCATCATTTTAGTTCAACATATTAGGAAAGCATACAAGTTTTAAATCAATTAATGAATTAAATAAATAAACTTTTTGCTCCAGACAATCTGTCATCATTTATTATTCTATCTTTTAAACAAAGTTAAGAAGCACATGATAAACCTGAATTTGCTAATCAATTCACTATATAATTTTTTAACAACAACTGTGTTTAAAAATGTACTTTTAGCATATTTTTAAAAACTGAAATAAATTTTGATCATTTAACAACTAGAAAAAGTTAAAACATTTAACATTTACAAAAAATGTTTTAAAATGAAATGATGTTTGAAAATAAATTTGGCTAAACTTTAACAGAATACAATCTAACTAAATGAACCTTAATCAATCAACTGCACCTGATAGAAACGTTGCATTTGGATTTATACTATTGATTTAAACATTTGGATTAAAACAAATTGATTTAACCATTAAAAAATGCCACTCTGGTATGGGACTATTAAATATAGCATACAAAGGACTTATACGCAGCCAATTAGAATGTTCCAGAATATCATACCTTGGACAATCAAAAGCACAACTAAAGAAGCTTAATGTAATACAAAGACAGCATGTTCCAATTATCTGTCACAAACACCCATTCTGCTCCCCTTTTAAACAAACTAAAGCTTGAAAAAAGAAGAAATTTTCATGCAACAAAAATAGTCAAGTCTCCTTTATCAGGAATGCCATCCACCTATGGCTAACATGTTTACACTAAACGAAGACTCAAACCTTATAATTAAAAAAACAACATACCCTTATAGAAGTAATGGCTTCAATATTATAGGAGCCAACATATTTAATAAAGTTAACTCCTAATATATCTAACTTGTTATGCCATTGGCATATACTATTCAAGCAGTGGAAAAAGAACTAGTGATTAAAGAATTAAAAGTTAAGAATAATAATAATAATCTTAAATTTATTTTATAAATTGAAAAGGCAAAACTTTTTAACTTTAATTCAGTTTAAATAGTAAATGATAATAGTAATAACAATAATAAAAATAATAATAATAATAATATTGTTATTACTATTATTATAATAGTAATAAAAATAATAATAATACTCATGATTACAGCATGCATACTATTTTATTTTCATTTTTAATCCCATTAACATATTCATTTCTATCATTAAATTGACCAATATACCTTGACCCAACTTTCCAATAATATTAACAAATTTTAATTTTATTTTAACACAATATCCTATCCTAACATAGTTACAAAAACAATAAATTTAAGGCTTAAACGTATTATAACATAGCTTAAACACATTACTTATAGCTTAAACAACAACAAAAATCATATTCTAACATTATATGAATGAAAAATAAAATACCTTTATAACATCTTCTTCAGTTACAGAATTTCTACAATGTTTGGTAATATTTTTCATACAGTGTGTACACATATTTGCTCTCATTCTGTGGGATAAGAACTTCAAGCAATTAACTTCATTAGTAAAACATATCTGATCTAAATACGACATTCTAGCAGTCGATTAACTTTTTTAATTGTTTAATCTAGAGTATTTCAACTAATTTCATAGGGAAAAAATCAAGTAAATTGAGATTTATTATTATAATTATTATTATTTTACTCGTCAAATTTTTAATTTTAGCGTTAGGGTGAGGGTTAGAGTAAAGATTAGTTTAAACGGCGAAAAGTATATGCGAATGGATTAATCTCGCGTGCCGAATACAAGGGAGGGGGTGGGGAAAAAAAAGTTGAGGATACATTGGGGCAAAATTCACTTTAAATAGACAAGAATAATAACTAACAAAAAAATAGGTCTTTATTTACTAAATTTGGTTAAAAAAAAAGAGGTGATATTTACTTATATACGAGGGGTATATTTTTCATTTGGTTGCTATTAATACCTAGTTTTATGGATACCTAATTTTGCATAGCAACAATTTATTTATTTATTTATTTATTTTGCCGTTGATAAATATTACAAAAAAGAAATTACAATAAAAGAAAATCCTGGCCGGAGCAAAAAGAAGAAGAGACGATATTTCGTCTGACTTTTTTTTCCCGTGAAGTTTACTTTCCAAACTTCAGGGGAAAAAAAAGTCAAACGAAATATCGTCTAGAAGTAGACAGGTTGTCTTATCACCGAGCCCCGTCACACAAAAATTTACATGCACAATAAATGATAAAAGACAAAAAGACAGTATAAATACAAAAACAAAAACAAATCAAAAACTTCAGCAATAAAATAATTTGTTGCTAACAATCTTCCAGCAGAATATTTTTAAATAAAATAAAAAAGTAAAAACGACAGAAAATCATGAAAGTTATGAAAATACACACAAAAAAAATGCGTTATTTAATTAAAAAAAAAAAAAGCAATATATGTAAACATAAGTATTTTGGCTGATTATTTAATATCATCAAAAATAGTTATTTTTTATACTAATGGTTTGAAACCATATTAATAAAAGCCAAAGAAAGTGATAAAGATTTAATTTATTTTTAAGTGATTTAGTTTAAACCTTTAAATTGTTTTTAAAAAAGGTATTTGAAATCTAATATATCGAATTCCATGTTCAGTAAATGCCGTTTTGAATCATCCTTAAAACTTTGCAAAGTGCAGTTTAAAACGAAGTTTTATTTTTTACTAAAGACTGGAAGAAATTTTTTTTAAACTAAAGGTCCCCGAAATTGAAATTGGTACGAATTTAATTTAAGAAGGTTTATGGTAACCACAAGTTATTCACTGAAAATTTGGTTGGATATTTATGGGAGATTTCATTAAAGTAGGATTGAAATGTTACTGGAGAAAACCCAAGTTTTGCTTTAAACAAGTTTTGCTTTAAACATTACTTGATGATTATTAAGTTTATAAATATTTAAAGCTCCAAGCTGACGTAAGAGAGGTTCGCATTGTGTTTTTCTATTTGCCCCAAATACTATCCTGCAAGCATGTTTTTGTTTACTAAAAATTTTTTTGAGTTTAGTGTGATTAGTGCTACCCCAGGAAATGTTACAGTATGAAAGATAGCTGTGTATAAACGAAAAATATAAATTTTTTAAAGACTCGTTATTAAGAAAAGGTTTTGTTCGGTATAACATGGCAATATTTTTTGAGATCTTACCTTCAATATATTTAATATGAAATTTCCATGACAATTTTTTATCTAAGAGCACTCCCAGAAAGTTTGTAGTCAATTCCCTTTTAATTATTTTATTATTGATTAAAATATTGGGTAGTTTTAGAGGAATATTCTCGGCTTTACTAGGTTTATGGAGTAGTATAAATTTTGTTTTCTCTACATTTAATGATAGTCGGTTACATATAAACCACTCGTTGATCTTATCTAATTCTTCGTTAAATATTTTAAAAAGAACAGTAATATCTTTGTGAAAATAAAATAAATTAGTGTCATCTGCAAATAAGATAGTATTTAATACTTTTGATGATAAATATAAGTCATTTATATAAAGTAAAAACAATAATGGTCCCAAAATAGAACCTTGGGTACTCCACAAGTTATTAAGTTGTTTTTTGAGTCTTTTGATTCTATAAGTATAAATTGCTTTCTGTTAGTTAAGTATGATTAAAACCAAAGTAAACTTAAATTTTTAACACCATAGTTTTCTAATTTTTTCAAAAGAATTTCATGATTTACTGTGTCGTTTTTTATTTAGTTGCTATAGGCACTTATATTACCAGTTACTTTCCTCAAAATCAGATACTTTCCTCAGCTACAAAGAGGTAAATGAACTTTTGAATAAATTTGATCTGGATTTTCAACCGCCTTATTTCAAATAAGATTTAGATATTAAGGTAATTAATTTCAGGTTAAGATTTAGGTGAATAATAATGAAAACAAAAAATGATGCAAGAAAAATATGTGAATATCCAATTTTGTGATCATCATGTCTAAAAATATAAGCAATAAAATAAAAAAAAGCCAAGCATTTTTTTTTTAATTAGGCACATTTAAATGATGAAATTAAACTTTTATGATACACCTACACTAATATTTATTTATTACAGCTTAAAATGATATTAGCATCCATAACTGTGGCTAAGTATTATCTTTTAAATGTTAAATTAAAATTAAATAGCAAACTAGCAGGAAAAAATCACCAGAAAAAAAATCACCTCGAAATAATCACCCGCGATTTTTTTTACAGCGCATAAAATAAACGATATGCCCATATAATAGTTCTTTATAATATAAATATTTTATACATATTATGTTACAAGCAAAACCTTAATCCTTCATTTTTCATAAATCAAGCGACAATTAGGTTGAAAATGCAAGGAGTGTTCATTTGTTAACTAAAATAGGTACAACATACAAGGAGTATAGATTCATTGACTGATAAATAGGAAAAATAGAACATCCAAGGAGTGTCACTATATTGATTGAAGGTTTAGGTTTGGGCAGACAATCTATCAATTTCGAAAAAGTATTTTAAAAAATTTAGGTAATTGCGTACACATCAAGGTACCCTGTAATGCAATTTTGAAAGCAAAATATTTGTCCGCAAAAAATAAAATAATTTTAATGTTCAAATTAAGTGAAATTTTAGCTTTACAGTGCGACAATAGGAACACTTGTAAAATGAGAACTACAAAATTTAATTTGATAAAAATTGGCGTATGGCCACACCAAACTATGGATATATATGGCCAAACCAAATTATGGATAAAATTTTGATCGGATTAATTTTCTGGTTAAGGATTTATGACAGTTTTAGTTTTTTTTTTCAAGTTTTTTGCTAATTATACCTCAAAACGTTACCAACTTTTTTTTTTTTTTTTTTATTAATCACCTTCCCAAGGCCCGAGGGGGCCACTACAGTCAAGGAGGCTACTCATTTTTTTTTTTTTTCTTTTTTTTTTTTTTTTTTTTTGTAAATCGTGGTACAACCCTCTCTCAACTCTTTAACTCCGAAACACGAACCTTGACAAGCAAGGCCGCTGCGCGGAGAAATTAAGTTGAGCGCGGTACTTCCAGGGACGTGGTGGGAGTCGAACTCGGAACCACTTGCTTACAAAGCGAGCGCTCTTACCACTACACCACTACCGCAACTACTGTGATATTCAATCGCTATATTCAAAATAAAGGTTACATGAGTGTTCTACAATTAAATATTATTTTTATTATAATTTCTATTATAACTGTTTTATTGCTACACCCACCAATTTTGTTCTATTGACAAAAATAATGATTTTCTATTTGAAGCGTAATTTGAACCGGCTCATAAATAGCGTAAATATCTCAACATTTCCTAAAGTATAAACTACTGCCAAATTACAAAAAAAAGGTAAAAAAAACCTGGCAAAACGATTATCAGTTGGTAAAACAAATTAATTCTAATTAATTATAATTAAAAATTACTTCTATAAAAATACTTCTATAAAATTAATTCTATAAAATTACTTCTATAAAAATTTTTATTAAACATTTAAACCTTTTTAAATTCATTAAAATGGTTAAATGTTCATTATAAACCGTACCCTACGAGCATTTGTTTTTAAAAGTTACGTTCAAAATGTATTTTAAATGTCTTTTAAACGTTTTCTAAACGTTCTTTACAAATAAACATTTAAAAAAGTTTAAAAGACATTTAAAACGTCAATTTTAAAAACAAATGCCCCAAGGGTAATTACTGTTCATAATGAACTTACGTAAGCCTATAAAGAATTTCCGCTGCCTAATCTATTAAATTGAATTATGGTTGCATAACAATGTTTATTTGCACTCTGAATGATTATTGTTTTGTTTGTACCTTTTATTGTACCGTTTATAAAAGTCTTAATATGCAGTTTCGATGGTTTGTTCACTATAGAGCCCCAAGGAGAATTCTTTGAGACTGATGAAATCAGTGGTTTGGTAGCAGACGGTGTGAATGTTGGGTACTACGCTTTCACCAGTTTTCAATAAGTAGCACCTTTGAAATTTTCAATTATTTCATCAAAATCCGGCAGAAGGATAATTCCAAAGCAAGCTTTTACAACTAAATTGAAACTTTTGAATGCTTCAATGATGTGAAGAATGTTGGGAACCGAGTTTGTATAAGTAAATTGTTGGAGCCATCCACATTTTAAAGAAACTTCCTGCATTCAATTCCCTTGAAATGGCCCCCAAGTTACAGACTCAGTTAAATGTGGAGGGCGGCTGGCCATTTACCAGAGTCTATCCAAGCAGTTTAAAGTATCTTGATAAGATGATTGACAACTCCTAAAAGAATATGCAATTCCATCGGCGGTATTTTTTCAACATCAGAACTTTGTCAGGCTTACTGATGATTGGCTTTTTGAATAAAAATGTCATATAACTTTGCACGAGCAATAGCCACGCCGGATTTCTGAAAAGACTCGATGCTAGATTTGATTGATCCCAGTGTGCGCAAATTTCTAGATTTTTGAAGACACTTAAATTTATAAGTTTATAAAGTGATTAGAAACTTGTTAAAAAATATTTTCCCAAACCTTTTTATAAAGATTTTCTTTGAATGTATATGTAAAAATTATTGATGCTTTAGGAAGTCGAATAGTTCCTTCAGGGGATAATTCTTCATTGGAAATAACTCAGCTGCTCTGGCATTTTTTGCTACTAACGATTGAAGGTTTTCCCTGAACTTTATTTGAGAGCATTGGTGGGACA